CAGTTGATTCAGACCTAAACAGTGTTCATGCCTGATGTTTCCATTTATTTGCAGGGTTTTATGGCTACAGCATATTCTTCACTCATTGCACACATGACAGACACCTAGAAGGAAAAAAGCAGGCAAAAGGTTATTCAGGAGACAATACACATAGAAGATATAATTAGTTCATTATATATTGTATATTTGTGGATATTTCGTACATAGGGACTTCTGAAAGGGGTATTCCAAAACAAGCTATTTTCTTTACAGTTTTCCAAAGCAGAATTTCTCAAATAGTGGTTTGTAAGACAACTTCCAGGGAAAAGGAAAAATGACTATAAATGTTTGAACACTTACTACACATTACATTTCTCAAAGTTTTAACAAAGACAGTAAATCTCTTTCACTTTTTAACACTCTACTAGCATAATTTCTTACCTGCAAGAATAGCTCAGGGCCAGGCGCCTTGTTCAGGCCTGTAATCCTAGCACTTCTGGGAGGCCAAGGTGGGCAGATCGCCTGAGGTCAGGAGTCTGAGACCAGCTTGGCCAACATGTTGAAACCCAATCTCTACTAAAAATACAAAAATTAGCCAGATGTGGTGGCGTGCGCCTGTAATCCCAGCTACTCAGGAGGCTGAGGGGAGACTCACTTGAACCCGGGATGCGGAGCTTGCAGTGAGCCGAGATCATGCCACTGCACTCCAGCCTGGGTGACAGAGGGAGACTCCATCTCAAAAAACAAAACAAAACAAAAAAAGGGTCAGCTGCAGAGCTTCAGAACAAATTTGGGTTTGAGAGTAATGTTGATGTAGCAAAAACAAACTTTGATACTTTCTTTGGTAATGAGTCTCTAAGGGTTTTATGGAAAACCTGCCTGAGAGATCATTTTCAACATTTTAGTAGTATTTTTAAACCACATTCCATATGTAGTATTTTATGTTAACTAGTTGAGGCTGAAGTTTTTACAAAATGGTTTTCAAAAACAATCCTTCTCTAAGTCTTTACCTGTACATCTTCACCTGCATTGTATTTTCCTTCTATTTCTTTGCCTAGTTCACCTTCTGGCAGTTTAAGATCCTCACGAACTTCACCAGTTTCTGTCAGCAGGGAAAGGTAACCATCTTGAATGCATATCAGCTATTAGAAGAAATTATATCATTTGTGCTGATTAGATTATATCCACTTCTTTGTAATGTTTACATAGTTAAATTGCAATTGATATTCTTGTAAGTACAAAGTAATACATTAATATTCTCGGTATTTAAAAATGCTAAAAATATAAAAAATATAAAATATGTACAGAATGGAAGTATAAGTTTACTCCTCCCGGTACTTCTCATACCCAATCTCTGCATTATTAAATAGTTTAGGTTTCTTTACAGTGTATTCCATTTATGTTTACAAAATAAATATAGTTGCTTTTTTTTAAAATGGGATATTGTAAGTACTTTACAGTGAACTGTTTTGACTTAATAATATGTCTTAGAAATACTTTCTAACCAGAAAATATAAACCTACCTTAGTTAACTACCACATAGCTGCATGGACATACTATAACTGATTTAACCAATTTCATATTACTGGGCATAAAAGTTATTTTTGCTATTACAAACAATGCATTTTCTAATTTGGGTATGAGCAAAATTAAGTGGAAAATTTTTGGTCTTCAGCCAACAACAACAACAACAACAACAATAAAATCTACTAGTGTATGGATAACAGTAGCGGAAAAAAAACCCAAAAAAACCACAGTTGTCAACCCAACCTGCAAAAAAGCACAGTTTTAATACCACTGAACTTCTTTTACTACAGGAATGAGGAAACAACCAACCTCCACTCATTTATTCTATTAATGAAAGCATGTACACCATTAGTATGCCTAGAATCCTAATACGTTTTATAAAAGGCTATTATCCAGAATACCGGCTGCTAATATCTACAAAAGGAATCAAAGACAATGGCCCTTGAACCCCTGTAAACCACTACGATATAACCCAGACATATCGTTGGGATTGTTCTCCTCCACATACGTCAAAACTGACTCTGGCTCTCCACAGAAACTCCATCTACCACAGGAAATTTGTTTTTATGTCTAGAAATCTCAAAAATAAGAAATCCTACAGAGCTACAACAAAGAATTTTAACTAACCTCTTAGACCCTCAAATATTTGTGAGGTGGCTGGTAGAGAAGTAGGAGCAAGGAGGTTAAGGTAGAAGTGTAATTTTTAAAATATATATATATATGGATATAGTGTTAAAGATGGGGATCTCATTATATTGCCTAGGCTGGCCTCAAACTCCTGGGGTCAAGTGAGCTTCTGCTTTAGCCTTCCCAGGAGCTGGGACTATAGGTGTGCACCAATCCACCTAGCTTGAAGTGTAATTTTTAAACAACCACAACATTCCAAGGCAAAACTTTCTGATTTCTGTTTAGTTATTCCCTAAAGCAGAGCTTGTCTATTTCAAGAGTTAAATGTTCCTACTGTGCCACTAGTGACTGAAACACAGAAGCCAAATAATAATACTGATATTTTGAAAACGATGTATGTAATGGAGTTATTTTATTTTTTAAGAGTTAAGAATCATAAACTGTGGCATGAAATATATAAAGCATTTCAAATGTGAAATGTATAAATATAAAACATCTAGTAAAACAATGCATTTACAGACATTAAACATCTTATAAAATAAATTGCTATATTAAATACAATTAGAGTTTTTAAAAATAAAACTAAGCTATGAAAAACAAAAATAATGAGAACAAATTAATCTTTGATATGGTTTGGCTTTGTGTCCCCACCCAAATCTCATCTTGAATTGTAATCCCCACATGTCGAGGGAGGGACCTGGTGGGAAGCAACTGGATCATGGGGTCAGTCTCCCCAATGCTGTTGTCGTGATAGTGAGTGAGTTCTCTTCAAAGTGTTTAGCAGTTCCTGCCTCACTTGCTCTATCTCCTGCTGCCATGTAAGATGTGCCTTGCTTCCCCTTCGCCTTCTGCCATGGTTCCCGAGGCCTCCCTAGCCATGTGGAACTGTGACTCAATTAAATATCTTTTCTTTATAAATTACCCAGTCTCAGGTAGTTCTTCATAGCAGTGTGAAAAAGGACTAATACAGAAAATTGGTACCAGGAGTTTGGGCCACTGCTATAAAGATGCCTGAAAATATGGAAGCCACTTTGGAACTGGGTAACAGGCAGAGACTAGAACAGTTTGGAGGGCTCAGAAGAAAGAAAGATGAGGGAGAGTCTGAAACTTCCTAGAGACCTGTGGAATGAATTTGACCAAAATGCTGACAGTAATATGGACAGTGAAGTCCAGGCTGAGGTGGTTTCAGATGGAGATGAGGAACTCACTGGGAACTGGAACAAAGGTCACTTCTGCTGTGCTTTAGCAAAGAGACTGGCTGCATTTTGCCTTGCCCTAGAGATCTGTGGAACTATGAACTTGAGAGAGATGATTTAGGGTATCTGGCAGAAGAAATTTCTAAGCAGCAAAGTGTTCAAGAGGTAACCTGGCTTTTTTTGAAAGCATACAGTCATATGCATTCACGAAGAGATGATCTGAAACTGGAGCTCATGTTTAAAAAAAGGCAAGAATAGCATAAAAGTTTGAAAAATGTGCAGCCTGACCATGTAGTAGAAAAGAAAAACCCATTTTCTGGGAAGAAATTCAAGCCAGCTGCAGAAATTTCCACAAGTAACAAGGAGCTGAATATCAATACCAAGACAATGGGGAAAATGTTGCAAATGGGGAAAATTTTGTAAAGATGGGGTTTCACCACATTGCCCAGGCTGGAGAACTAGTTTTTTAAAAAAAAAATTCACAGAAATGTTTCTGGACATTCCAGATGTCTTCATGGCATCCCCTCCCAACACAGGCCCAGAGGCCTAGGAGGGAAAAACGGTTTCGTGGGCCAGGCCCAGGGCCCTGATGCTCTGTATAGCCTTGGGACTTGGTGCCCGGTACCCTGTATCCCAGCCACTCCAGCTCCAGCTGTGGCTAAAAGGGGCCAAGGTACAGCTTGGGCTGTTGCTTCAGAGGGTGTAAGCCCTAATTCTTGGAGGTTTCCATATGGTGTTGGGCCTGCAGGTGCACAGAAGGCATGAATTGAGGTTTGGGAGCCTCCGCTTAGATTTCAGAGGATGTATGAAATGTCTGGAGGTTCAGGCAGAGGTCTGCTGCAGGGGCAGAGCCCTTATGGAGAACCTCTGCTAGGGCAGTGTGGAAGGGAAAGGTGGGGTTAGATCCCCCACACAGAGTCCCCACTGGAACACTGCCTAGTGGAGCTGTGAGAAGGGGATCACCATCTTCCAGATTCCAGAATGGTGCACCATGTGTCTGGAAAAGCCACAGGCACTCAATACCAGCCACTGAAAGCAGCTGCAGAGGCTGTACCCTGCAGAACCACAGGGGTAGAGCTGCCCAAGGCCTTGGGAGCCTACCTTTTGGATCAGTGTGCCCTGGATGTAAGACATGGAGTCAAAGGAGATTATTTTGGAGCTTTAAGACTGAATGGCTGCCCTGCTAGGTTTCAGACTTGTATGGGACCTGTAGTTCCTTTGTTTTGGCCAATTTCTCCCATTTGAAGTGAGAGCATTTACCCAATGCCTGTACCCTCATTGTATCTAGGAAGTAACTAACTTGCTTTTCATTTTATAGGCTCATAGGCGGAAGGGACTTCCCTTGTTTCAGATGAGACTTTGGACTTGGACTTTTGGGTTAATGCTGGAATGAGTTAAGACTTTCAGGGACTGTAGAGAAGGCATGATTGTGTTTTGAAATGTGAGAACATGAGATTTGGAAGGGGCCTGGGACAGAATGATATGCTTTGGCTCTGTGTCCTCACCCAAATCTCATCTTGAATTATAATCCCCACATGTCAAAGGAGGGACCTGGTGGGAGGTGATTGGATCATGGGGGCAGTTTCCTCCATGCTGTTCTCATGATACTAAGTGAGTTCTCATGATATCTGATGGTTTAAAAGTGCTTGACAGTACCCCCCTGCTTGCTGTCTCTCCTGCTGCCATATAAAACATGCCTTGCTTCCCCTTCACCTTCCTCCATGATTATAAGTTTCCTGAGGCCTCCCCAGCCATGTGGAACTGTGAGTCAATTAAATCTCTTTTCTTTATAAGTTACCCAGTTTCAGGTAGTTCTTTATAGTAGTGTGAAAATGGACTAATACAATCTTTTAAATTGAATTATTTATTAAAAAATCTTAAGTTCTATAGAAAAGTTGCAATAATGCAATGAAATCCCATATCCTTTACCTAGATACTGCCATTGTTAACATTTATCACATGTGCACTATTTTCTCTATGTATACATCCAACATATATAACATCTATCATATACATTCTTATTATTTTTAGAAAACTATTGAGAGTAAGTTCCAAAGATCATGATTCTTCAGCAGTAAATACTTCAGTGCAACAGCCATGACTTTTCAGCAATTAAAACTTCAGTGTATTTTTCTCAAGAACAAGTATATGCTCTTAGATAACAACAATATATTTTTCAAAGTCAGGGAATTTAATACTGATAACCTATTATTCAATATATAGTACATATTTAAATTTGCCAATTATCCTAGTATTGTCCTTGATAGCAACTTTTTTCCCTAACTCCAGGGTCATATCTTGTATTTATTTGGCTATCATATCAGTTTAGTCTCTTAATTCTAACAGTTTCCCCCACCCCTTAACTTTCATGGCATCAACTTTTTGTTTTTTGGAGGGTTTGGTTTTTGTGAGACCAGGTCTTGCTCTTTCACGCAGGCAGGACTGTGGTGGCATGATCATGACTCACTGCAGCCTCAACCTCCAGGGCTCAAGTTATCCACCCACCTCAGCCTCCAGAGTCACTGGGACCACATGCATACAACCACTATGCCTTTTTTTTAAAAATTTATTTTTATTTTTGTAGATACAGGGTCTTCCTGTGTTGCCCACACTGGTCTCAAACTCCTGGGGGTTCACTGTTTTATAGAATATTCCTCAGTTTGTGTTTGTCTCAACTGTTTGTTCCTCGTGATTAAGGTAACATTTTTGAAAGGAATACTATACAAATGATGTGCCCTCAGAGTATCCTATCAGGAGGCAAATGTCAATTTGTCCCATTACAAGTGATGCCA